GGAGATGGGAAACTTTGAATAATTTTTCCAACCCGTATCTATAGCAAACTTTTGAACTCACAATCCAGGCAAATAATCCACTCATGAGGATTTTCTGGTCTGGGGTACAAGTCCTTTCTCCCACCTGTTCTTTAGGACTGACCTATCAAAGATGATTCCCTCAGTCTATCACCTAAGCTCTGGGATCTCCAATTTCGGTATGTGTTAAAAGGGACCACGGGGCAATCACTTCAGCCCAGGGTTCCCCTCTCTGGTGAGGGCCTTTGCTGCGTGGACAGGGCTTAGTTTTGTTAAGAAGTTTCACTGCAGGCTTTCTTAATGAAACTTGTATCAGACTTAGCAGGGGCTTGTGAATAGCTTTTGGTCTCAAAGAATTAGTGACAATTGATGAAAGAACACTGTCTCAAGAGAGTACTTAATCAGCTCTAGCAGCGCTGTGTTCAATAGCTTGCCCTCTTTTCCCAGCTATAATAAAAAATCTCTCTGCTCTCCACAAACCTCACCTGTCAGGTAGTAGGCTATTATGGTTGAAACAACATATTAATCAGGTTCAGCTGTCAATATCAAACTGTTTAGGCGTTAATATCAAAACAGGGACAAATATTCCATCCTTGGTAATCTGTAATGATATTAGAAATTTTTTTTTTTTTAAATATTTAATGTGCATTCAGAGTAGTTTTTTCCTCAGCCGGCCCAATGGTATGAGAATGATTCTCAGAGGAAAAGACTGAGTTGTACTCTTGAAAACGTCTGGTGAATCACAATCATAAAGCTTTGAAAATAAATGCGGAGACTAGCCACACAGCTTTGCAGACTTCACACCGGTTGAAGGAACTTGCCCCAAGTATTCAGGCAATACGTGTGCTTTGCATGTTAATTGAAGCTGACTGGTATCCAGACTGCGGTGGTGTTAATCTTCTCTGCAGTGATATGTAATGCTATTTTTAAAAAAATCGACAGCATAAAAGCAAGCCCTCTAGCTAAGGAGATAAATATTTGTACACAGATACTGTTTTATTTATAACAGAGAGGAGAATGCTTGGAGCAGTTACTCAGAAATTTTACATTTCAAGAAGACGCTGAAACCAGCTTCGCTTTGTCTGTTACGCAGTTTGGATCTAGAGTGGCTCTGGGTCATTGAGCTGTTTAACTTTCATGGACTGAGTTCAGTTCCCCAGTTTCTAGTCATTCGCTTTCTCTGAATGTTATGATAGCTAGTACTTTAGGGAAACATTAAAAAGAGCGGGAGCAGGGCTGTGGAAGAGCGCACACTTTGGATAACCTCTCACTTTCACTGAGAACCTGCTTTACACAAATGTATTGCTCTGCTGAATTCAGTGGGATTATTTGCAGATACTCTCAGGGGTTTTTATGGTGGGTGCATACAGATATTTTCCTTGGAAGGGCAGTGCGGGAGGCGGTATTCTGGAATTGGCCCTTTTCCAAGGTTTTACACCTAATTGAGCTCCCTGCAGGGTCAGAGGAAGTTAAAATGCATAGCATTGCTCAACACTGGGCTTTTCCTTCGGGCAGTTAGGGGATTATTCCGAGGACTAAAATGCGAAATAACTGTGCGTAGAACAAAGGTTCTCAGACTTTTTCCATAGTATTTGGCACATGCTCACAGAGAATTTGCAGGCTGGAGGAATAGCTTCCCTTGGAAATCTCATTAAGAAAGGCATTAGCCGTATCTTAATATAATTAAACAACTAGATTTAGAGTTAATATTGTGTGACCAACCAGTTCTTTGTAACTGCTGTGCGGGTGACTGTAATCTGAGAAACTTTTGGCTGACCTACAGCCTGGCTCACTTGTGGCATGTGCCATGGTCTTAAGACAGCTTAATGTCAGAAATGGTTAACACCTCCCTTCAGGCCTGGGATCTCCTTATGCACAGGAATTGGCTGCTTCTTCTACAACTAGCTCCATGGGCTTCAGTGGAACTAGTCTGGTAGATCTGTGCAAATTTTTAGTTCTGAACTTGAAAACGAGTAAAAAAAAAGAAACAATGAAAACTTAGGTTTTGATCAGTCTGTAATGAACTTTTTAAAACAGAACAGAACAAAACATGCTTTGGTTGAAAAAAGCGTTTTGTTCATGCAAAACAGACAGTTACAATAAAAGCAAAGTAAATGATGAACTGGGTTCCTTAAATTGATTGTGATAATTATATCAGTATGTTTCTTTTAGTCAGTAGCCTGACAGACTCAGTATTTTCCTGTGAAACGGTACACGTGACTGAACCCTACTCGCTTGCTGCAGTGGCTCGTCTATGGGGTAAAGATCGGAAGTCAGCATCTTGCCCTCTGCTTCCATTGCTTTAATACAAGCTCCTAAAAATAAAACATGTTAAAGGTCTGTGGTAATGTTTTTATTTCAGTCAAAATGGTTTGGTGAATTTGATTGAATTCCGGAACTACTTCAGCCACCCTGAAACAGAATTTTCAGCTAGTAAATTTGCCTGGACGCCCTTCAGTGGGACAGGCTGGCCTTAACTTTATGATTGCATTTAGGACTATTTAAAAAAAATAGAGATACATGGAATGCATTAAAGACAAACTATCACCAGGCTCTTTTTTAGTAAAGGTAACTGGTAGCAGCTGCTGTGACTCAATGAATCAGGAATAGTTATAGATAATGGATGGTAAGACAAAGACAATGTAATTTTTTTTCACATGAGAGCAGCTGGTCATGTGACCAGGTTTTATTATAACAACTGTACTTCTGTTTTTCCAAATGATTGATACATGCAGTACTCTGAATAATCTTCGATGATGAATGTTGGTGCCATGAAGCAACCGTTACTCACTGTGCTATTACTGAACATGAATTTTGAATGACTTGCGGCGTAGAGCTGCCGGGTACTTAAATCAATGAAATAAAAGTCAGGAAGAGCCAAAGATAATGTTCCTCCTGCAATATTAACTGCCATAGCTTGTGTACAAACAATGTTTCTGGTAAGTGGTTAAGGGGTCACATCTCTGGACTCCCGATACACGGGATGAAGGAAGGAGGAGGCAAATGAACCAATGCTTGCTGTTTGGATGTGAAAGTTGTTCTGTTTTTTTCTCTTCCTCCCCTCCTGCATTGGCAGGAAAAGCTGGGAATGGGTAGGAGGGATCAATGATTTGGCTCTAGGGAGGAGGTGAATTCATCTTCTACCTGTGCTGCCTGAGGCTGGAATCAACCTGAAAGGTGGGGGAGCACCTTTCCTAGCTCTGCGCATCTAACACAATGTGTTGGTGCTCACACCTGGTGGTGCAGTTACACAGAAGAGGGGTGTGGGAGCACCGAGCCATGTTTCTTCTTCAGTGGGGCTGAGGTTGAACCCTGAGATGGGTTCCAGGATTGGAGGGAAATATGCTGGCATAGTTGAATGCTCTCCACCTGGCTTACAGAGATGAGATGAGTTGTGTGCAGTGTATTTGTACATCACTGACCTTCCCATCTCCATTCTCACATCAGGAATGAAGTATTGAACAATACTTTTGTTTTTCAACCGCCAACAAGCGGATGAGTTAATCCTCCCGGAGATGGAGGTCTACCTCTTGCTCAAGATTCTTTGTAACGCTGTCAGTAGGAGTGGCATTTATGTGACCTAGCCAGAGGAACAATTGATTTTTTTTATGGTTTTTGTTCTCCACAGCCTCACTGTTTATGTGGGGAAAGGAGGGGAAGGAAACCCGGCTGGAAAGAGCTGTTGGTGCAGTGCCCACAGGCAGACTGACTGCTCCTCAGTTCTGCCATGAAATACAGCCCCATGGAGACTTGATTTCTCCTGAAAGCATTGATGCCACAGGGGCATTGTGATAGCAAGGGAATACAAATACTCACTTCATTTTAAGAACTTCATGTACATGTCTGCTGTAGAAGGTTGGGCTCCCGCTCTGGTTAATAAAGTGAGAGCAGGCACCTATATTGGGCTCTAGCTCTCAATTACCTTGTGGAAAAGGTTATTTTTCTCCATGGACTACAGAAAAAGCTGAAGAAGAGTAGTCTTCTAAGCAGAAGACAAATTTTAGATCACATGACTACTCCTCTACATTTTTGCATGTTGAACAGGACAAATTAACAATTTGTGATTTCTGCTACGCTCTTAAATGTATATTTGAATGTTTGTTTAACTGCTGTTTAACAAGGATGAAGACATTCACAAAAATGTTTTAGTATGTCAAATCTTTATCCCATTGTCCTTCTAAAGGAATGATAATTTTCTTCTTCTAATTGTAAGCATCTATATTCTTGGATTGTTTAAAATATTTACATTTTACTCTTTACTTTTATGTTTTCTTCTCCTCTTTCTTCCTTTTTTGTTTTTCTAATTTGCCACAGAAAGTAGAGTGAAGGAGAGGAAAAGACAAAAGAAAATTGCACAAATATATTAATTGTCTTTGACACAGGAGACATTTTTTGCACAAATTTTTGTTTTCAGAAAGTCTGTTCCCCCCCCCCAAATAATAATAACCTGATAAAAAAACTTCCATTAGTTCTTTTTAATATAGATGGGATAGTCTAAGGGTGACCTCTTGATCTAATGAAAATCATAGCATTTCCTAACCTTGTATAGTATTTCTGCAATAGTATTTCTAAATCTACTCTAATACAATTTTGTGCAATTGTACACCAATCATCATAAATGGCTGACATTTGTCAACAGATACTACTGAAGAAGTTACTTCCTTTCTTATGGCTAGAATGAAATTGCCCTTTCTTAGCTCCGGTGTTAAATTCCAAGTGATTTCTATTTTAACTTACTTCAGTATGAGTAGGGGACAGTCATAACTCGCTGACTTATTGGAGCCTAAATATAATGTGATGTTTGCCTGGCATCATTGTGACAAATCTTTGAAAAGTGATTTTTGTTATTTTTTGTATTTGGCTTAAAGAACCTTGTAGACTTCCAAAAGTTTTCACCTGCCAATCATGTAAGCTAGGTCTCATGCTGGATCCAATTTTGAACTGACGCTCACTCTCCAACCTGTTGTCTTTGCACTAATCAGATTTCTGTTTTCCTTTTCTCTAGGTTGCGGTCTTTGGTAAAGCAGTTAGAGAGAGGGGAGGCTTCAGTTGTAGACCTAAAGAAGAATTTGGAATATGCTGCGACTGTTCTTGAGTCAGTATACATTGATGAAACTAGGTGAGTTAACTACAGACATCAGCACTCTTATATCTAGTACCAATGACACAAAATTGTAATTTACACGTCGGTTGGGAAATTTGTTTTAGCCAAGATTCGTTACTCACAGACAATAGGTTTTTAATCATTAAAATATTGTAGTCTGTGTAGAGCAGATCTTCAATCCTTGGTCTAAAAGCTGCTTTAAGTTTCCTGGGACAGGGGAGAAGATCAAAAAGAATCATAAATTTAATATATACTCTCTTGGAGAAATGTTTCCATAATAATTGTGTCCTACTTTTTCTGAAAGTTTCTAAAGTCCTACTCCTCTATTCCTTTTGAATAGTGTTAAATCTTTTCACTTGTATCAACTCTTTGAAATTAAAAAAATTTTTACTCCAGGTCATGACAAAGGTAGACTGGTAAGACATTGCAGAGGAGTTCCCCACTCTGTTATGTGCCATTTCCCCACTGTTAAATGCACCTGTAGAGTCACCTCAGTTGACGAGAATGGGGAAGGAGAGGACTGTATGATACTAACTGGGAAGTTAGACATGATCGTAAATGAGGGGCAGAAAGGTCAGGAATATTGATGACCTGAAGATGAGAAGTCAGTGGATGATTACGTAGTTGTGCTTCAGAAGGCTGATTCTTCTTGCTTGTCGACCTACTAGTGAGTTTCACAATCTGACATTTAACTATACAAGAGAATAAACAATCTGTTGAAGACTTGTACAATTGTGTTTCATTAGGGCTGATGAACCAAAGGCTTTTAACAACTGTTTTAATTACAATATATGTGAGTTTCTTTTTTGTTAATAATGTTGCAATGCTCTCCAAGGGAGTCTGTTTACCCATCTTTTTCCTCCCCCTTCTAGGCGTTTACTGGACACAGAAGATGAGCTCAGTGACATCCAGTCCGACTCTGTGCCTTCGGAGGTCCGGGACTGGTTGGCTTCTACCTTCACGCGGCAAATGGGGATGATGCTTAAAAGGACGGAGGAAAAACCTCGGTTCAGGAGTATTGTCCATGCAGTACAAGCTGGGATATTTGTGGAAAGGTAAAGGGGCATGTGATTACTTTGTTCTAGTAGCTGCCCAGGTACTGCAGATTGCACCTGTAGTATTGAATGAAGAATACTTTAATATGCTTCTAATGATGTTTCTACACAGATCTGGATAGCATCTCGAAACCTGGGATTAAGTAATAGATTGCAACCTGAAACAGCACATACTGATCTGTTCTTAGCTTAATACGGATGTAATACAGTTGGAATAATTTTGACAGAGAATATGCACCTCTGCATAGCCCTAGGTCAAGAGTGACAGCTTTTAAAATTTGGTCAGCCCAGACCAAGCCCTCCCTTGCATCTGTTTACTTCTGTGGTCTAGTATTTCTTATGAAGAACTGCTAAGAAACAGAAAAAAATCCTGTATCATAGTATTACTGGAATGAACTATAGACCAAGACTGATGTGAAAACTTTGGAGCTCAGGGAGGATTTCAAAAAACTGATTGAGTCCTTTCAGCCTTCTCTGTTGCAATTTGCATCAGAACCTACTGCTAAAACTGATTTCACTTTCTGAACCCTTTAAAACATTTAGTCATTTAAATTTGGACTCACTTCCAATCTTACCTTTTCTTATTGAGTAACCACTTTTCGCTGACATTCTTCCTTCAAGCTAGAAGGAGGGCTGGCACATGTGAAACTGTCAGCAGGCTTTAGGCTACGTGAAAGACCCAGGTCCCAGATCTCTACAGCAAAACTCAAGTCAGGAATGGAAGAGAAGAGTGCCTTTCAGCGTTCATCAGAATCGCAGTGACAGCCTACCAGCCCTCTGTGCAGGAAGCTGGGCCTATCAGACAATGGACCACAAGCCACACATACAGAAGCCTCCTCTGGCATGTCTATGGCCGATTTTTTTATCCATGTACCAAAGTTACTGTACATGTGTTAAGAGTGGCAACAAATTGTGATAAGACTAAGCCTGTCATTTCTCCTTGGAAGAGGTTTCTCCTAGGTTTGACAGGCTATTTGTGAATTAACACTCACTCTCAGTGAGGGACTTGCTCAACAAAGAAGTAAATGAACTGCAGAGAGCTGGCTGCAGGAGGCTGTTTTCCAGCTGATCTGAATCACTGTGACGCAAAGGAGGAAGTGTTCAGATATGATATGGCACCAGAGGAGGGTTGTGGCTCTCCTGAGCTAAGGGAGAGGAACTCTGCCTGAAATTAAGAGAAAGCTAGGGGTCTCCTAACTGGAGGGAGAAGGGGGTAAGAAATTCTGTAATTTGGGGAATGGGTGAATTTCATTCTCCAAAGGGGGCTGACTTTTTTCAGGTCTGAGTGCAGAACATGACAAAGAAAAAGGGAAGTGAAGCAAGACTTCACACGGGATCATTTCAGGTGGGAGAAGAGAGTTTCCATCATCTCCTTTCAGTCTTACGTTGCTTAAGTGCAGAAAAGGGTGACCTGCAGAAAGGCGGTTTAGCTATGACAGTGTTTCTGCATTCACCAAGCCTGTTAAAAACAGCGTGGCCTGAAAACAAGTTTAAAATCTGGTACATACTTCAGTGGTTTGTTTAGTATGCTTGCAGATGTTGATTATTGCCTTACTCTTTCTCTCTCTCCCTCAAACACACACACATGGAGAACACCCAAAAGATTTTTTACCAGTCTTAAAAAAATGCAGACCAAAGTAACAGCTGTACCTGAACTGGAGTTGATTCATTGCAGACAACAAATGGTATCTAAAGTACATTCAGAATTAGCTTGCGTGTGGACCAGCAAGGACTAAGGGAACTGAAAGAGCAGTGTGGTTCATCTGCAGTGGAAAATGGGGAACATCTTGTTTATTTGAGCGTAACCTTTCCCTCTGATGAGAACCTGATATTGGCAGATCCTCTGTGCTGTCCTGCCAGGTAACCAAGCTATGAGATGCTGAGGAGTGTATAGTCTCTAGTTAGGCTATACAATAAGAATGGCATAGAGAATATTGTTCAAGTTAGGAACAAGAAGGAAGAAAAAAACCAAATTGCAGTTAGGGTTTCCTGGGCTAAGTAAGGCCTCCTGTAATGGTCTGTTGCTTTGTGGTTTTTGTTTGGTTGGTTTGTTTTGTTTAATTCTATTTATGTGTTGCCTTATCTATTTTATCTTGGTAGAATGTACAGACGGACTTCAAATATGGTTGGTTTGAGCTACCCACCAGCTGTAATTGGAGTGCTAAAGGTAATCCCAATAAAAAGTTGTTGGGGGGGGGTTCTGTACACCGCATCAAGATAACACTGCGATATTTGACTTGATAAGGGGGTCTTAGTACTTGCCCATTCCTTCTCTCTGACATTTAGTTTAGTTCACATATATTAATCATTTGCTGGGCTAAGGGAATATCCGTTCAATAAAGGAAAGAATCAAGGCTCAAGGTTCAAGGCTGTGGCCATTTTCAGGTTGTGAAGGTTACAGCTCTGTTCTAAATTATGGTGATTAAACTGAGGACTTAGTAACATTCTGGAATCAATCACAACCTCCCACAGAGAAGAAAGAAAACATAGATGGAGAGAGGTAGAGAAGGAAAAGGATCAGTTGCTGTGAGAAAAGGGAGTTTCTTGCATTGCTCAGCTTCAGGTCTTCAAGGTGACAAGTTTAGGAATAATGACCTTTTTATGAGTTTTGAGGTTTCAGAGGAAAACTGATTAGTCAGAAGTAGTCTGCAAAAAATAAGGTTCAACCCAGGGGACAATTGCAAGGCTCTTGACTTAGGCAGGAATTATCAAGACTACAAAGACAAGTTAGCAAGCAACTGCCTACACAGAAGCTTTGGAGATTACATGTAGCACGTGGTTCAACCATGCCATGCAATGGTGAAAAAAGGTGATACAGTGGGGCAATACACAGGGACATTACATGTAAAGCTTGTGAAGCAATCCTTCTGCTCTACTCCGCACTAAAAAGACCTACAGTTAGGGTACTGCATCCTTTTTGTTTCGGATAGTACAACTCATTGAAAGATGTGGAGGAACTGCAGAAGGTCTATTGAATGCAAGAATGATCAAACATGATTTTCATGTACAGAATCAAAGCATCCATCCACATCTTTTTCCAACTGCAGGTTGACGAGTGTTAGCTTCACTCCTGCAAATGGGATCTAAAGTCTTTGTTCTTTTAGAACTACGCCCCATAGCCAGCATATGAGGGAACATATCTATAATGGTACCTCTTCTCCTGAGTTCCTCAGACAATCCAAGACCCATCAGCTACTCTCAACTGACTTAAACTCTTACAGAATCCCTCTCTTCTTTCTATGTTTTTAAATAATTAAGGGTCATAAAGATCATGCTAGAGTAAGTTAAAACACATCAATAACAAGAAAGGCATTGACTAATTTTGCTCAGGGTGAAACAGCTCCTGCTTGGCCACTGTGCACTCTAGGATGTATTTTTTTCCAAAACTATTTTGGGAACATGTCTTTGCCGGATGGCCTTGGAGTTGGTGGTGGATGTGGTTGAAATGGGAGTTACTTGTTTTGAAGAAGTCTTCTGTCTTTGAAATAATACTTCATCTTAAATTTCTCAGTCCCATCTCCTTAATGGAAAATGGTACATTTTGTTGCTTGCTTCAGTTCAGTAAAGCCAAGTAAAAAAACTTACAACTACCCAACTGCTTGGTGTGCTCTGTAAAATGAGCTGATGGTTTAAGCATGCAAAAGGGTGTAGGAGTGTACCACACACATCTCTTCAGCTGTTCTGGATTGCCGTAATCAACGTTCCCCTCAGAGTCATGGTAATAAGGACAAGGATTGAGATGACACGGAGTCAAAACTAGCTTATTTTTGAACTACGTGCTCTCCTTTTTGCTGCCATGGCCAACAGGACGTCTGCACTGAATAACCCAAAGCTGTGGAATCAGCTTGGCAGAATGAGGTTGGTTTTAATAAAACAATGAAATACTGCAGCTTCTGCAAAAAATGCAGATGGAGTGGTAGCAGTGCAAGTCCTAGGTGTATAATCTCTCTCACTTTTTCAGTGGATGAGAAGTTAGGCAATTTTTTTAATTGATTGCACAGCATCTCTTTCTCTATCTATATATTGGATACTGATTTTTCTACTGCAGTAGCCTGTTGCCTTTCTGCATGACATGGGCGTGATAGCGTAAGACCTGTTGCCGCAAAAGGGATGATCAGCCTTTTCTCTCATTTGAGTTGTGGCCATATATACCATTCATACATGTGTTTGAATATGTAAGTATGTTTATTTACCCAGTAAGTTGTGGTGATCTGCTTTTCAGCAGTGTAGTGCTAGAGACAGAACTTCACATTAACCAGCTGCTGAAGTAGTTACCTGCTTTAGAAGTGAATTTTTCAGCCTTTTCTGATGCACGTGCTGTCATGGCAATATTTTCTGGGCTAGCTAATATACAGGTAATCATAGAATCATAGAATCATTAAGATTGGAAAAGACCTCTAAGATCATCGAGTCCAACCGTCAACTCAACACCACCATGCCCACTAAACCATGTCCCTAAGCGCCTCATCTACACGTCTTTTAAATACTTCCAGGGACAGTGACTCTACCACTTCCCTGGGCAGCCTGTTCCAAGGCTTGACCACTCTTTCAGTAAAGAAGTTTTTCCTAATGTCCAATCTAAACCTCCTTTAGTGCAGCTTAAGGCAATTTCCTCTCGTCCTATTGCCAGTTACTTGGCAGAAGAGACCAACGCACACCTCGCTACAACCTCCTTTCAGGTAGTTGTAGAGCGCGATGAGGTCTCCCCTCAGCCTCCTCTTCTGCAGACTAAACAGTCCCCGTTCCCTCAGCCGCTCCTCATAAGGCTTGTTCTCCAGACCCTTCACCAGCTTTGTTGCCCTTCTCAAACACAGAACCTGTAGTCACTTACAATATATGCAGTATAAACTTCTGCTTGTCTGTGGCTACAAAAATGTCAGGCCTTCCAGTAACGTTGAGCAGAATCACATCTATCCCTGAACCTGCTTGTCAGCTTATAAAATAAATCAAGCTTCCAAGGTTAAGGACAGACAGAAAGGCAGGAAACTGAGCATTTAGGAAGAACTGGTGTTTCACTTCATCTCTAGGTTCCCCCAAGCAGTGGAGCAATGGCCAAGTAATAAGGACACAGGACTGAGAAGTAAGACGCCTTGGATCTATTTGCAGTTACACCACAATGGGTATATGTGGCATTAGAGCAGCTTATGACACTTCAGCTGAGACTACAGGGCCAGTGCCTAGAGACATGTGTAGCACAGAAAGTTTTACATCCCTTGCTTCTCCTGCTCTCCTTAGGGAGAAGAAACAGTTTTTCTTCTCCATCACAAGACATCCGTGAAGGTCTGCCTCCCTTTAGATCTCTCCCCAATATAGGTGTCACTTCTGTGTTAAATTTTTTCTTAAGGTCATAAAATCCACTGATTTTCAAAGTGTAATTGGTGTTGCTGCAAGCCTCTAAGCCATCTGTGACACTTGCATACTTCTGTTAAGAGGATTTTTCCCCCTAGTTATTCAGGGTAAAATGCTGCTGTCATTATTGTCAATAGCAAAACTCCTGTCGAGTTGACAAGGGCAAGGATTTATCCCCCAGTAAAATCTAAATAGCTCTACTGTGAAACTTACCATCTATGTGGTTAACCATTATTTCGTGCAAAAGAACAATTCTGATGTACTATTCTGCGATTTCACAATTTGGTAAATTTTATTTGCTGCAAGAGCAGCAGAGGGGAGACCTCATCGTGCTCTACAACTACCTGAAAGGAGGTTGGAGCGAGGTGGGGGTTGGTCTCTTCTGCCAAGTAACTAGCGATAAGACGAGAGGAAATGGCCTCAAGTTGCACCAAGGGAGGTTTAGATTGGACATTAGGAAATATTTCTTCACTGAAAGAGTGGTCAGGCCTTGGAACAGGCTGCCCAGGGAAGTGGTAGAGTCACTGTCCCTGGAAGTATTTAAAAGGCGTGTAGATGAGGCGCTTAGGGACATGGTTTAGTGGGCGTGGTGGTGTTGGGTTGATGGTTGGACTCGATGATCTTAGAGGTCTTTTTCCAACCTTAATGATTCTATGATTCTAACATTAACTACAGGAAAAATATATAAAGGAACAAAACTGTTTTATTTCTACAAGATAAGATTGCCTTACAGTGAATTAAATTTCAGCACAGTTGAGACATTCTTTTCAATGCCATAGGACCCAAAAGTAAATTATTATATATATGCAAGTGTTAAATTAAATTATTTGCTTCATTGACGGAGATAAGTGTTTACAAAATAAAAATACTCAAAACCCAGGAAAATACTTAAAATTGACTGAGTGGATGCTTTGGGCGTTATTTTTCTTGCCCATTGTCTAAGTTTGTTCAAGGGCTTCAAAACATGTTTTCTTTTTCCTCTCTTCGTTGTTTTTCCTCTCCAACGCCTACTGAAAGTGTTGAAAAGTTGCAATTTATGATTGCTCTTCTGTGACTTGGGCCACAAATCATCTCTGGAGAAGCTTGACCCTGCCTTCAATGTGTGGGCTCCACACAGCTTGTAAAATCAACTGCTTGGCAAGCAAGTGATTTACTGGTATAGGTGAAAGCAGAGCTGAATCTTCAGCATCCTTGATATTCACTCACTGATTAGCCTCTCTGTGGATTGTACTTCCACAAGAAGCATACTCAGCTCTGTGTAATCAACACTATGCAAGTAGCAAGATTGTCAGGATCAGCCCATGCTGGAGAGAGCCGCTACCAAAATACGTTGGTCTTGTTCAGAACATAAGAAGTCCTGTAGCTATGCTGATGTATGGGTGACCGACCACGAGGCAGTTAAAGGTCACTGTCCTTTGCATTTGACTTGAAGTCAGGTCCTTACCTGGAACATGACCATGACAACAAACAACAAAGGTGGACTGGGCTTTAAGAGCTCAGTAGATAATTGTAATTTAGCATTTTTAGTATTGCTAAAAAAGACGGCAGATTTTTAGGTGGACTCTAATCCTTAAGAGTACTCAACATTATGTCTAGCCAACTCCCATTTCTTTCACTGAGAGCAGCTGTGCACATGCATGTGTGAAATGTAGTCGTCTTTCTCTCTTGGTGAAAGAGCCACAAGGAAATGGGAGGTAACCTGCAACAGAGTTTGAAAGTGGAGGGAAACGTCAATGTACGGATGTCAATCTTTAGTATGTGGTTTAAGGAGAGTCATTTGGATAAATCCTGGTGGGAAGTACATCAAAGTTCTCAGCAGGCAAGAGAGATTGAGAGCTGGTCCTGTGGCAGATGCAGCTGTGTGGTTGATCTGTGTATCATTCTTCCAGCTATAACTCCTTCTGCACCTTTTCTCTTTGTTGCTAGGAGGAGGAGAGAAAGGTTCATAGGGTTTCAGGAACATCCTGTTCTGAGATCAAGGAGCTTTATCTTGCTAGATAATGAGTGCTGTCAGCTCCCACAGCCTTCCCCAAGAGTTGAGATTTGAACTCAACGTTCTGCAAGAAGGTTTATACCTTATACTTTAGCTTTATGAGCTGGGAAGTGAACTCTCTTGACTGACCACCCTGCAGCATTAATATATCATTTACAGCTGACTGGAACTTTCCTAACTGGAATTAGATATTTACTCTTCTGTTACAAATGTTTTTTATATCATTGTTAGCACTAATGTAACATTACTGTGATTTTCTCCTGCTCTGTAGTTTTCTGAAAGCCCCACTTGTCCTTAAAAAAAAATAAGGAAAATTAGGGTCATGCTGTCTTTGGGCAAGTTAAGCTGCAATAATCACAATTCAGGATTAATATTAAAATCAGAAGGAACTAAGTCGCTTTTTGGGTCTAGCAAGATAGTTCTTCTAGTTAGTTATTATTTTGGTTGATTGAACAGTAAGTGGTAAATATATGACCACAGGTGCCTATTTTTTTTTACTGCAAAAAACATACTGCCTTATTCTGTTTTAAGCATGAGTGAAGCATTGGAGTGCTTTGCTCACAATACAAAGTCGTAAGAACTCTATAGGGACAGCAAAATCCAGAGGCTTCAGTATCATTAAAAAGCCTATCTTCATTATTCCTGTTTCCTTCAAAGTTAATATTATTTTTCATAGACATAGCACGTGGGTAGGGCACAGAGAAGGGTAAAATCAGCCACAATAGGGCCATTCTAATGTTTCAGGTACTAAAGCAAACGAGGATTCTTATCTTTTTGGATTCAGCCTTTGCTGATTAAATTCTGGTGTGGAGAATTGCCATGTTTAGAATAAACAAACATGTTCATAATGGAAGCTTCTTAAACATGAGTCATACAATACTGATGAGTAAATTAGACTCTGCATTGGTTAAATGGAATTGAAGAAGTAAAAAAAAAAAAAGCTATACACTTACATTGCCACTCTAATTCTCCATTTGTAGATGTAAAATAATAGAAATTGAACTATCATTGTAAAAGGGATGACCATATTAACTGCCTTTTCTACCCACTCTTGCAGAATGTAGACAAGTGGTCCTTTGATGTATTTGCACTAAACGATGCCAGTGGGGATCATGCACTGAAATTCATCTTCTATGAACTTCTCACACGCTATGATCTGATCAACCGTTTCAAGGTCAGTAGTTAGAAGACGGGTCTCTTCTTCCATCTCGGGTTTTGTTCAACTTCCTTCTCATCCTGCTTTGTTCCATTCAAAACGCAATTTTAGAGCTATTTGAAGACTTCATGGACACTGCACTTTCCCTGGTAACAAGATCAAATGTTATTTAAGTAGTACTTTTAATTGCGATGGGACACCATGAAGTAGGCGGGGTTCCAAACAGGCTTCCCCATGGGAAATACTGCATTTGATCCTGTGGGAATGATGGTGTCATTCTGCTGAGATTCATAGAACTCTCAAGCATGCAGGCAAAAAAGATGACCTTGAATTCAAATTCAAATTCATCAAAAGAAGCATGGCCAGCACATCAAGGGAGGTGATTCTGCCCCTCTACTCTGCTCTGGTGAGACCCCACCTGGAGTACTGCGTCCAGCTCTGGAACGCTCAGCACAGGAAAGACATGGATCTGTTGGAGTGGGTCCAGAGCAGGGCCACAAAAATGATCAGAGGGATGGAACACCTCTGCTATGAATAAAGGCTGAGAGAGTTCGGGTTGTTCAGCCTGGAGAAGAGAAGGCTCCAGGGAGACCTTACTGCAACCTTTCTGTACTTAAAGGGGGCTTATAAGAAAGATGGGGACAAATTTTGTAGTAGGACCTGTTGCAATAGGACAAGGGGGAATGGTTTTAAACTAAAAGAGGGTAGATTTAGACTAGATAAAAGGAAGAAATTTTTTACGATGAGAGTGGTAAAACACTGGAACAGGTTGCCCAGAGAGGTGGTAGATGCCCCATCCCTGGAAACATTCAAGGTCAGGTTGGATGGGGCTCTGAGCAACCTGATCTAGTTGAAGATGTCCCCACCCATGGCAGGGGGGGTTGGACTAGATGACCTTTAAAGGTCCCTTCCAATCCCAACTATTCTGTGATTCTATGATTGTTACAGAGGTTTGCAGATACATACGCTGTGTGTCTTTTCCTCCAGCTTTGAACAGGCTTAAATTTGGATGGCAGAAACATTGCTCTCCGATCTTGACCATTCTCCCCACCCAAATACTCTGCTGTCCCTTCCTCCATTGACGCTTACGCTCCCTGGGGGTCCCCACTCACTTTGGCCGGAAAGGGTTTACAGATCTCTGGTTCCTATACTTCTTCAGGAACTGCCTGTGCCTGATGAGAAATGTTTGAAGAAGGTAACTGGTGAGAACTGCATCCTTCCCTGATACGTACCCAAGGGGAGAACAACAACGCTCCTCTAACTATGGAAATATGAGCGTTTAGGGTATTTGCCGTTTGAGCAGATGAAATTGGAGAGCCCGTGTTGCCAGTTGCATATGTTGCAGCTGACACCACCTGCGTAGTCTCCTCTCTAGAAATCCCCTGAATTGCATTTTCTTGAGTGTGCGCAGTTCTACTCTTGGAGTCAGAAAAGCATGGCAAGCCCATAGGATGGGCAGGCTGTGAAAAAGCCTGTGAAAAGCCAGAGGTCTGATAAATGATAGTCCTCTTAGTAGAGTATCTCAGACATGCTACATGATGTGTTTCATTAGAAAATCTTGACTGTGAGTAGTAAAGCAGAGGTATATTCCAGTGGGTTGTGAGGGGAACAGAGGTGCTTGTGGCCTAATTAGAAATGTTACTCGGGGCAATCAATCAAGTGCTCTCTGTTACTTTTCATACTGTATGTGTCTTCCAGATGACATTTTGTAGTATATTTACTTGTGTGTGTTTGTGTGTGTGAAGATTCATCCATAATGTAATTAGGGATGGGAAAGTTCAAGGAAGTAACCTGGATTCACTCTCTCTCTTGAGTGCCTGTTTCGGATGTTTTGACGTGTTATTTATTTGTGACGTACAAACTGCTCTTTGGGACCTCTTATCAAAATGCTCCCCTCCGAATGCTAGCCATTAAAGGTGATTATTTTGTTTTTAATTCTGTGCTGCTTTCCTCAGATCCCCATTTCTGCCCTGGTGTCCTTTGTGGAAGCTCTGGAGGTTGGCTACAGTAAACACAAAAATCCTTATCACAACCTAATGCATGCCGCAGATGTGACACAGACAGTCCATTACCTCCTTTTCAAGACAGGCGTAGCGGTAAGTACCGGAGTTGGCATCCTAAATACGTAATGAGATTACAACAGTTTTGGATCATTAAGGAGATTATGATTATCCACAGTACAGCCCATTTGCACTGTAGACAAACTTGATTTGACATGGCTGTGCTAATGAAACTAGAGATTTAGGATTATCTAGAAATAGAAGGTAGGCGAAGATATGTCCTTTAACAGTGATCTAAAAGAGGATGAATGAGAAACCCAAGCTCA